GCTGGAAAGCCAGTGACATGAAGTGATGTCACAGACAAAGCTTCCTGGAGGAGGCAGCTTTAGCCAAATGGGCTTGTGAATACCCCCACCCCTGAATTAGACTTATCCTCTCTGTTCCTGGCAGTGCTGAGCAAGCACAGACCTCCCCAGAGGGGCAAAGCTAGCCTGCTGACCTCAGCTGCTACCGAAGAACCACCCAGAACATAAGCCCCTCTGCAGGCAGGCTGCACTGGGGACACAGGCTATGCCCAGTGGGAGGCAAGCTGAGCAGGTCCCTCACCTCACACTCACCCATCAGCTCGCTGGGCGGGAGTCAGGGAGGAACAGAGAGAGGCCAGGCATGTTCCTGGTGGATGCCTTTCCACGTTTGGTTATTAAAAGGCAAGAAATGAGTCTGGTCCAGGCATCTGAAGGCGGGGAGTCTGTCTCAGGCTGAGAATGTACAGGCTTTGATTCCTCATTCATATCGGATGGCCACCAACTCCCTCAACAAGAATAAACCCTCGTGTCTACAGAGAAGTATACATTCTGTCATATGCTTCCCAGATAAAGGAGGAGAAACCAAAGGCTCGCAGCCCCGGAGATCAGCGATGAAGCTGAGGTTTAAGCCCAGGTCTGGCCCACTCCATGGCCAGTGGTCCTTCCATATGCCCCACCTGGTAACTAGGGTAGCATTAGCATTTCAGCTGTGCCAGTAGCACTATCTATATTTGGAAGTTGTATGGAAAAACTTACAAGATGAAAGACCTTTTAAGTTATGTGTATTTTTACCACAACAAAAGTATAAGTAAAGCAATAATAAAGAATAGTAAATATAAAATAATACCCTGTTATCTACATTTATCAGTAATCGTGTGTGGTTCACAACAACGGTGGCTAATGTTTGGGAGTGTTGACTCTGCTAGGTGCTGCACCAAGCACTGTACAGTTTCTTACCGACTTGTGGGGCAGGAGACCCCTGGGAGGCATCTCCCCTCATGTTCTAACCTTTGAGTCTGCAACTTTCAGATGTTTCTTGGGATACCTTAGAAAACTAATGATCTCAAAGAGTGTTCCCTTCCCCACACCTCTTTGCTTCCTTACAGCATCTGGACGGAGGAGTGGCTGGGTCTCCCAGAGGAAGGGTAAGACCTGCAGCCCCTCCACTGACAAGGGTCTCAAACAGAATCCAAGATTCTTTCTCTGCTTGGCCAAAGGTCAGAGGAATTTAGCCTTGGAGTAACTAGTTATGAGGCCTTGGACGGGTCACAGAAGTTCCTCATTGTAGCAAATGGAGGGGAAGTGATTGGTATTAGGTTGCTTTGAGGTCTAAATATGAGAATACATATAAAGCAGCCGAGGATAACAAAAGGTATGGTTATTAGGGGGCAGGAATTGGTCCCTATTCATGTCAGACAGCGAATAACAGAATGCAGTTTACAGCAGTGGCTTTCTAAAAAGCATGCATTGTCCTTTCAGCTGCTAGATGGCTGGTTCTCAAGCTTTAGCCCCCAGGGGAGGGGGAGCTGTTGAAACAGACTGCTGGCCCCACTCCCCTGGAGTTTCTGATTCTGCAGCTGCTCTGGCGTGGGGCCTGAGAATTTGCATTCTAAGACGTTCCCAGGTGATGCTGATGCGGCTGGTCTGGAGTCCAGGCTTTGAGGAGCGCTGCCCTTGATCACTGGTTCTCAGCTGTGGCTGCACCTTGGCATTGATCTGGAGGGGGACTCTGAGACCTGGATCACACTCTCAGAGATTCTGAGCTACAGCTCCAACATTGGGAGTTTCCAAAGCTCCCCGCTGATTCTAATGTGCAGCCCAAATTGAGCACCACTGCCCCAAGTAGAGGAAGGGAGAGCTACGTGGATTTAGAGTGCCCCCGCCCCCCCCACCCCAGCCGTAGCGTCCGTCACACCCACCAGATGCTAAGAGTAGGCACCTGTGGGGAGGGGTTTGTGAAAGCTCTATCATTGCTAACAGTAATAAAAGCTAACATTTCTGAAACGTTCACACAGGCCAGGCACTTTGTTAAATTCTTTACATCTAACACTTCATGAAATCCTCAGAACAACCCCATGAGATGCGTAATGGTGTTATTTGCAGTTTACATTTCAGCCTGATATATAAAGAAGTTGGGTCACTTGTCAAAGGTCAAACAGCCAGAAAGTGATGGAGCCAGGATTTGAAAACAGCACGCCCACCTCAGTTCTTTTTTTGAGACAGAGTCTCACTCTGTCGCCCAGGCTGGAGTGCAGTAGCGCAATCTCAGCTCACTGCAACCTCTGCTTCCGGGTTCGACTGCTTCTCCTGTCTCAGCCTCCTGAGTAGCTAGGACTACAGGCACACACCACCATGCCTCGCTCATTTTGTATTTTTAGTAGAGACAAGGTGTCACCATATTGACCAGGCTGGTATCAAACTCCTGACCTCAAACTCCTGACCACACCTGGCTAGGTCCTAGTTCTTGACCACTGGGCTAAGCAGAATGTATTTATGATTAGTTCTTGTGAAATTTTAAAACATGTTTAGTGGGAGAAAAACTCACTTTGTGTCTACTCTTTGCTCTGGAAGCCTTTGAGGGGCATCGGGCCAAATGATACAATGCTGACTTTAAAATATTCGATTCCCCTTTTCCGAAGAACATTTGCAGGCGGGATCTTATTTCGACACCCCCAACAGCATGATCTCTCTCTACCACTCTTCCCTCAACCATGCTCCAGTGAAATAAACCACTTCACCGTTCATTCCACCTCAACCAACATTTACTAAGGATGTACTTGGTGCCAGCCAACAGGCTGCAGCTTGAGGACACAGAGATGTCAAGACCCTGAGACTCAGAGAGGCAGTGACCTGCCCAGGAGTGAGTTAAAGGCAGAGCCTGGGCCCAGCTCATCTAATGCTCTCATCTTGGAGGAACTGAGGGATGAGCAGGAGAGGAAGCTGGTGCGGCAGGAGCTGCCACAGTGCTCTTGCCTGCTTTGGGACTGGCATGGCCTCTGATGGCTCCTGGAGAAAAGACTCCAAGTTGGGGGCTGGTAGGAATAGTAGAGGGGCATGAATGCCCAGGCTTAGAACAAGAACTTACGAGCTCCTGCTCAGACCTAAGTCTTGACCCCGCTCCTTCCAGCCTCCACATACCCTCACCCCTTCTCTACCCCCAGCCAGGCAGCTTCTCTATCCAAAGAGGTAATTACTCCAAGCAACCAGCAAGGCCAGAACCGGGGACTAATTTCCCAACATGATTCTGGTCTGGACTTTAACCACCAAGTGACATTATCCTTACAATCCTTGTGTCTGTTCATAATGTTAATGTGTAAATGTGAACATAGTAAATAACCACGATTATTGTTACCCTGTCAGGGGCACGTCTCTCTTTTTTTAACATATCCAGAGACCTTGAAATATAAGGCTGGGCACGGTGGCTCACACCTGTAATTCCAGCATTTAGGGAGGCCAAGGAGGGCAGATCACTAGGTCAGGAGCTCAAGACCAGCCATGACCAGCATGGTGAAACCCTGCCTCTACTAAAAATAAAAAATTAGCTGTGTGTGGTGGTGCACCCCTGTAATCCCAGCTACTTGGGAGGCTGAGTCAGGAGAATCATTTGAACCCAGGAGGCAGAGATTGCAGTGAGCTGAGATCACACCACTGCACTCCAGCCTGGGTGACAGAGCCAGACTCTGGGTCAAAAATACATATATATATATATATATATATATATACATACACACACACACACACACACACACACACACCTAGAAGTGGTCCAGGCCCCTCTCCACCTCTGAGAGGCTCTGCTAAGAGATCAGGGGACAGTGGCCCAGAGAAGAAAGACTTGCCCAAGATCACACAGCAAGCCAGTGTCAGAATCCACCAAGCCAGGACTTCTGACTCCTACCGAGGTCTCCTTGGGGTTCTGAAGAACCCCCTTACCAAAGAAACCTGCTTGTAAATGTCCCGGTTCTGAAGCAACTCATGTCTACCTATGGCTTCAGCCACCTTTATGCAGGCCACTCTAGCCCAGACCTCTCCCACGAACGGCCCTGCCCAGAGGTCTCACAAGCATCTCAGAAGCGGAGGCTCCAACTCTGACCTAACCACCTTTCCCTTGAAATCTGCCCCATCCATATTCCCTCTCCCCCAACCCTCAGAAACACAGGTGTTACCCCAGGCAGCTTCGTCTTCAGCACCCCCGCAACCCCGGTAAACCAGGAGGGCCCTTGGTTCCTCCTGTCTTTTACTTTTCTTGAACCCAACCCTTCCCCTGCCCTCTACCACCACATGAAGGCAACCTCATCAATCCAGGCTTCATCCGTCACAACAACCTCTCCCTTCAGTTCACGCTTTCCTGTGGGCCTGCCACTCTACCCTGGCTAGGGTGTGGCATTGAGCAAGACAGCCAAGAATCTGTCACTGGCATGACTGCACAAAATCGACCCTGACCACATCTCTCCCCTGCTCTGATCCCTGGGTGGCCACAAACCACCCCTGGGTTGAAGTGCAAACTCCCCCATGCAGGTATTCACATTCCTGAGCCCTCCAAGCGCCCCGATCTTTCCAGACTGGTCTGTCATTGTGCCCCGAACAGAATGATCTGAACAAGCTCTTGGCCATCCTCCCCAACACCAGCCCAAAAACCACCTCCTCCACAAAGCTTCCCTGCCTGAGTCACCCACCTGACCGGGTGAGTTTTGCCTTCTTCTGGAATCCCATTGAAACCCATGATTTGTGTCTCTGCCTCCCAGACTGGGCTGTGATTCCAGTCGCTCAGGGGACTCAGCCATCGCCAAGCACAGAACCTGGCACTGATGGGCATCAGTGTGTTGTGTTGATGGAAGGACAGACAGAGGGGTGGGTAGAGCAAAGTCCAAATGCCCTTTTCATTCATTCGGTCCAGTGCCTAAGCCTTTGTCGTTTTCTGCAAGTCCCTCCAGCTGTCTAACCTCCCCTGCTGGCATTGCGGAAGCTCATGCCCATTTCTTCTCTCAATCTTTCCCTTTCCCTTCCCCAAAGCCCAGACTGTCCTGCCTTTCCCTGACTGGGCAACAAGTCAACAAGAACAAAGGTCTGGGGAGCCGACCAGGGCAAGGCCGGCCCGGGCCTCTCGGGGTCTCAATCCCTCGGCCTGTGTGTGTGCCAGAGCTTCCCACAGATTTGGGAAGAAGGTGCCGGAGGCTGGCCGGGCGGCCTTGCGGTTTGAAGCAGTGAGTCACCTTCTGGCTGCAAGTCAAGGAACTCTCACTGCGCCCTTGTTTGGACAAGACGGGGAGGCGCACTCAGAGTCAGAGACTCCGGGAGCAGAGACAGGAGCAGGAAGAAGGGGTCACCGAGACCTCAAGAAAGTCAGGGACACAGACGCCCAAACGACCGAGACAACCAGGGACAGGTAAGGCACGCAGAGAGAGAGAAGGACAGAGGCAGCGCGCCCAGAACCCAGGGGCAGCGCAGGGAGAGGAATCGCGCCACCGGTGTAGACGGCTTGGCTCCCTGCGCACACTCCGTCCTCCCCCTCGCGGCTCCCACCTCAGGCCGGGACCCGGACACAGGCAACAGCGGAGCCAATGGGCTTCCAGACCGGGACATTACCTCACCAGAACCGGCTGCCATTGGCCGGTGTCCCCTCCGGGGCGGGCTGTTGCTATGACAGCCCAGGCCGGCCTTGCAGAGGGATGCTCGGAAGAAGGTCTGGGAGGGAAAGACGCGTCCACACCTCTTTCCAGGCTGTGGTGGGGCTCAGGGACCTCTCCCCTTCCACTGAGCCCCACAGACCCCCTACTCAGACCGGAAGGGGAAAGCCCAGCTCCTGCTGGCCCAGGAGTCGGAATTCCTGTAAAAATGCCCATTCGGCCCCCTCCCTCAACCTGGCCCACAGTCCCTTGCCAAGACCACCCCTCCCCCCGACACACCCTGGAAACACACACCCATCCATAGATCCTGCAAACAGCAATGAGCACCCTCCAGCACCCAGATGCAGCGCTGGGCTCTAGAGAGGCAAAGATGAGTCCACCTCCCCCTCTGCCCTCACAGAGTTCCCCCAGTCTGATCAAGCAAGCACTCCAGGAGAAAATGACAAGGCAGTGTGTAAGGACTAAAAGAGAGCAAGCACGGGGGCTGTGGGAACACAGAGGAGGGGTCCCTACTCAACCTACCAGATCAGGGGGACTGCTGGGAGAAAGGCATACAGAGCCAGGACCTGAAAGAGCCAGATGAGGAAGGGTGGGGAAGGGATTCGAGGCAAAAGGGACAGTCTGTGCAAGGACTGGAGGCAGTAAAAAGCAAGGAACACTCGAGGTAGGAAATTAGATGGTGGGGTTGGGGGCGTTGGAGAAGAGGAGAAGTTTAAAGTAAAGCTGAAGGGGGAAGCAGGAATGAGATCCCAAAGGACTAGAATGCCGTGCTAAGGCATCTTGGACCACATTCTCAGGCAGTTGGTTGATGGAAGGGGAGAGGGCTATGATTAGGTTTGCATTTTAGGAAGATCTCCACTCTTGCAGCTGTGTGGAGGATGTGGGGGAGGGGACTAGGAGAGCAGTCATTACAGGGACTGGGGAGAGGCAGTACAGGGGGGACTGAGGCCCCTAGCTGGAGTAAAGATGGAGAGACCCAAACTCAGGAGGAGGTGTAAAGGACGTGGAGCCACAGTTCAGGTGACTGTGGAGCTGGCACCAGCTCACCTGGGAGGCTGGGAGGGCTTTCCTGGCAACCAGATAGGATCATCACTCTCCTTCCATATGATATTGGTGTCAGCTTGTGTATTCAACTTGTGTTTCAAGAGTCATGCTGCATTGAAAAGATGTCTATCTCTTTTCACATCTCCCCACCCCCTACACACACACACACACACGCACGCGCGTGCACACACACACACACACACACACGCACTGTAATTCATCTCCATTCCCAGCACTCAGCACAGAGCTTCATCCCATTCATCCCAAGTACACTTCCACAAATCTGAACCCTCATCACCCCCCTCCCCATGACCCTTGCCCCAGCCTCCACCCATCCCTCCCAGCCTCTACCCTTCCTTCCCAACCTCCATGCACCTGATTCCCATCTTTTTTAGTCACGTTGTAGCCACCACCTAGAAATTGGGGCTGCCCCCCCCCACTATGTCCGCCCCTCCTATTATCCCTCAGCAGGAAGCAAAAGTTGCCTATCTGTTGGGTCAGATTTCTGAAGACTGATGAGGCCCATTTTCGGTAAGTGGGGTCATTATAGTGCAATCACTGGGTTGTTATGAGAATTAAATAAGGTTTTGTTGCCTGGCACGTGTAACTGCCCAATCAATCCGCTATAGTGATGACATTATCATGAGTGTTGGAGGGGGACAGAGAGGGCTGGCTGGGACTCCAGGATGGCACAGCCCTGCTTCGGGTTACCTGGTGTTTGCTTCGCTCATCACAGAGTGGTGTCTTGACTTCTCATTTGGTACACATACTCATTACATACTCTCTCGAGGAAAAACACAAAACAAAGGAGATGGTGGGACAAGAGTCCTGGATTGTCATGATACCACCTGAATTCCATCAAACTCACAGAAATCCTTGATGCAGTGGTTACAGATGTCCTCTCCCAAGGAGCCAAGATGGGACAATTGAGTGGCTTCTTAAATGTCAAAAGACTCCATTCAGATCTTCCAATCAAGGAACCTTCAGCGGTCAGAGCTGGCAGTGCCCTTAGGATCCTCTTATTCAACCTTTAGTTTGACATATGAGGAAACTGAGGGTCAGAGAAAGCAAGTAAGTGCCCAAAGTCACACAACTGGGTCGACCAGCAGAAGCAGAGTCATTTTAGGCACCCGGTTTCCCCCTCACTGCACTTTTCCAAATCTGGTCTGTCTTGCAATTGAACAGTAACTAGAATCTTCTCTAGCCAGGACACACTTAGGGCCTTCCCATGCTGGTTTGTTTGTTTGTTTGTTTGTTTGTGTTTTGCTTTGTTTTGTTTTGTTTTTTGAGACAAGAGTCTTGCTCTGTTGCCCAAGCAAAAGTGCAACGGTGATCTTGGCTCACTGCAACCTCCGCTTCCTGGGTTCAAGCCATTCTCTTGCTTCAGCCTCCTGAGTAGCTGGGATTAAAGGCACCCACCACCACGTCCAGCTAATTTTTGTATTTTTAGTAGAGGCGGGGTTTCACCATGTTGGCCAGGGTGGTCTCAAACTCCTGACCTCATGATCTGTCCACCTTGGCCTCCCAAAGTGTTGGAATTACAGGCGTGAGCCACCATGCCCGGCCTCACATGTTGTTACATTAAACATTCATGACAGCCCTGCAGGGTGGGCATTGTTATTCCTATCTGAAAGGTCCAGAGAGAAAGTAGTTCCTCCAAGATCACACCGTGTTACCCAAGCCTGTCAGGTTCCAAGGCCCACGTTCTTGGCATAGCAGTGTGTTGACTCTAAGACTGCTCAGTGTGGTGTATTTGGAGCTTGTGGGCATCAGAGCGATTTGCCAATATAATCACTAAAACAAGAAGAGGCGAATCTGCTACTTGGTGAAAACGAGAGAGGACCTGGACTCTTCTGCACATCGGTGCTTTACATACCTGCTCTGTTGTGTGAAAGTGCTCCTCTAAAAGCAGTAGGAGTCAAAGGGCTATGTCCCATCTGCGGGTCTAGAAGAGAACCAGCTAGGAGACTGGTTTCCCAGCTAGGCTTCGGCACATTTTCTGAGTAAGGTGCCACCACCCGTGTTCTCTGAGTAGAGGGTCCTCAGAAGGAAACACAGGAAAGTATGTTTTACTTTTATTTTTATTTTGAGATGGATTCTCATTCTGTTGCCCAGGCTGGCGTTCAATGGCATAATCTTGGCTCACTGCAACCTCTGCCTCCCGGGTACGAGCGATTCTCCTGCCTCTGCCGCCTGAATAGCTGGGATTACAGGCACCTGCCACCACGCCTGGCTAACTTTTGTATTTTCAGTAGAAATGGGGTTTCACTATGTTGGCCAGGCTGGTCTTGAACTGCTGACCTCAAGTGATCCACCCACCTCAGCTTCCTAAAGTGCTGGGGTTGCAGGTGAGAGTATGTTTTAATGACACCTCTGCATGAGTTTGTGGATCTTGAAGTGGTCATAGATTCAAGATATCGTGTGGAAAGGGCCAAGTGGGTGACATCTATAAGGACAAATCAACTACATTCACTTCATTGCCACCAGAGGCTCCCACAGCACAGTGCTCTACAGCCTTTTCCAGCCTTTGATGGAGGAAGGGCAGTGTCCCACAGCACTGGAAGAGATGCCATCCTTTATGGCAAAAAAAACACACAAACAAAAAAAACGGATTATCCCACATCTTCAAGAGGTTCTATTTCTAGCTCTAGAAAACACTATGACTGTTGATTAGCCAAAAGTTGTGCTGTATCTGGCTCTGGAATTCTCTCTGTCCTTGGCTCTGGAAAATATTCCAGAGACATTTATAGTCCCACAACATTGTTAACTCTAGGGAAAACTCCATGGCTCCAGAGGACTTTCTGCTCCTAGTTTTGAAATTCTGCAGGCTGTTTTTGGAGGACCCTTTCTCACTAATATTGCTCTGTTCTGCCACCCTGGCTCCAGATTATCCAATCCCATTTCTGGAAGACACTCTGACTGTGAAGCAAAAGAACTCTACGCCTGGCACTGGAAGGCTGATTCTCTGTGAAGGTGGAGGACCACCTGACTGGTCTGGAAGACTGACTGTCCATACTCTTCTTCCAGGATCTGGACTTGACATCGCTGGCTCAAAAAGATTGACTCTCTAGGGATCTGAAGGGCCTCTCTAGCTGACATGCTGTAATACCATATTTCACAAGTGCTCTCTTGACCCAGTTTTGAGATCCTGGCTAAAACCTCTCGACTCCTCTTTGTCACTTTGCTCAGACTATACCTTAACTCCTCCAAACTCTTGGCGTGGAGGTGTCTGTGCCCCTGTATCTAGATGACTCTTTGGAATAATCTTCATTCCTGGCTTCTGGAGTAGGAGGGGGAAATGTGGATGGGTTGGAGGGATAGGAAGATAAGAGGAAGCATGGAACGGTTGCTGTGACATCTGTTCTGATCAGCAACCTGAGCTAGATTTGAGTTCTATGGTCACAGGTTGGAGGCCAGAATTGTTCAAATTTCATTTACATGAGCAGCTCGGTGAGGTTCTGGGTTCAACAGGGAGAACTAATTTTGGTTCTGCAGTGCATGAGGCCAAGAGTTGGGGAAATGGAGACTGTTCTCCCCATGGAGAGCTGTTGACCCCAGCATAGTTCATGGAGCCTGAAGGTGAGGCATCCTGGCCAAGATGTGCAGAATGATGGACCCTGGCCAAACCACTTTTTGGACAGAAACATGGACAAGTAGAATCGGGGCAAAAAAGAGGGCACATGACGAAATTCCCATGAGGTCTGAAGCCAGGGCTATTCAAAGGCCTTTCTTACTGAACCAATCGCCCATACCCCATCCCAGGCCTTCTCCATTCCTCCTGGAATCACCAGCGCTGAAGTTTAAAAATTACATTTCCCCGACATCCTTCGAGTTGGATTTCCACTGGGTTCTGGCAATGGAATGTATCCATGCGAGATCCTGGAACTCCTATCAGACAGAGTCCAAGCTCCTAACTTTTATCAATGGCGATGGCAATAGTCGAGCAGCATTGATGGGGAGTACAGACTTGTGAGCCCAAAATGACACCACATTCCTTTTTCACTGGTACTTCCAACATTTTTATGACCAATTCCTTAAATTAAATCATTTTGTCTGAAGTACCTAGAGTGGTTTCTGTTTACCTGACACTTATCAAAGATTCGAGAGTACCTACTATGTGCCAGATGTTCTAAGAACTAGGAGTAGCAGACTGAACAAGAGCGGAATAGTGGATGGGGTCAGAGAGGCTGGGCAGGAGCAAAGCCATACAGGGCCTTTTAAGCCATAGGAAGAAGTTTGAGTTTCAGTCTGATTTCAATGATAAGAGCATCTTATTCAGGGAAGGGAAGGTATGTGATTTATGACTTGAGCTCTGTGACAGATGAAGTCTAGCAGGCTGTAATAGAAAGGAGGGATAGAGGCGGCTAGTTGAAGACTTCAAGCTGGAGATGACAAACTGAAGCTGGGGGTGGGGGGCTTACTGTTATAACATTAGGGTCCGACGATGGTAGGATGAACTCACTGACCTCTGATGAGATGAAAAGCAGAACTCTATTACTTATAGCATCAAGTGGGAGAAAGCTGCCATGCAGGGCCATGTAGGGCGTTACACCCTGGGACAGGGGAACAGAAAGCTAGAATGTAGGAGGTAGTTTCTGTCTGGCAAGTGGAGTGGGGTTAGCAGGTCTAGGGGCTTCTTGTGGTTTGGGAATTTTGAGTGATTTCACAGACCCAAGGAAGAAGGGTTCATCCCTTGATGTATAGCAAAGAATCCCTGGGAGTTGGGTGTATTGTTGTAACCCAGGAGGAGCCCAGTAAGGAAAGGGGTTGGGGTGCAGACTCAGCAAAGTGCCCACTAAGAGGAATTGAGAGTGTTTAGCCCAGATCTCAAAATTGGGTCAAGAGAGCACTTGTGAAATACGGCATAACAGCATGCCAGCTAGAGAGCAGTGGGCATGATCAGGATCTGCTTTAGAGGTAGAGCTGATGGGACTTCCGATGGATTGGACATGAGAGAAAGAGGAATCTTGACCATGGACTTCCAGAATCAGAGGCCTCTGATTTTGAGACCGTACCTCTCATCAGATACAAATAAAGATGTTTGATAACATTTTTAAAACTTATTCAAATAAACGAAGGGCTAACAAGATAGTAAAAAACAACCAGGGCTAGTTAGAAGGAAATATATAAGAACCCAGAGAGGAAAACATCACAGAAGCCACTTTTGCCCTGAGAACACTGACCAAGAATAATAAAGAACAGGTGCAAACAAACAATATCAAAAATAAAGGGCAGGCGCATCATCACCGATACTTCAGACATCAGAAAGAAGAGAACGTGATGAAAACTGCATGCCAATACATTCGAAATTTTAGGCAGGGCGCGGTGGCTCACGCCTATAATTCCAGCACTTTGGGAGGCTGAGGCGGGTGGATCACGAGGTCAAGAGATCGAGACCATCCTGGTCAACAAGATGAAACCCCGTCTCTACTAAAAATACAAAAAATTAGCTGGGCATGGTGGTGCGCGCCTGTAGTCCCAGCTATTCAGGACACTGAGGCAGGAGAATTGCCTGAACCCAGGAGGCGGAGGTTGCGGTGAGCCGAGATCGTGCCATTGCACTCCAGTCTGGGTAACAACAGCCAAACTCCGTCTCAAAAAAAAAAAAAAAAAAGAAATTTTAAATGAAATAGATAAATCCTGAGAAAAAGATAGGTTACTAATACTGACTTGAGTTTAAAAAAAAAAAAAAACGCTTCAACCACTTTGGAAAAGAGCTTGGCTTTTTCTAGGAAAGCTGAAAACTTTCTGTGACCAGCCATTATAGTCCTAAGTATATACCTTAAACAAATTCAGGCATATGTGTTTCCATTAAAATGTGTAGGAATATTTTTAGAAGTACGGAAGCACTGGGGCTGGGCACAGTGGCTCACGCCTGTCCCAGCACTTTGGGAGACCAGGGCAGGCAGATCATTTGAGGTCAGGAGGTCATGACCAGCCTGGGCAACATGGTGAAACTGTCTCTACTAAAAATACAAAATTTAGTAGGGCATGGTGGAGCCCACCTGTAATCCCAGCTACCTCGGAAGCTGAGTCAGGAGAATCGCCTGAACCCGGGAGGCGAACGTCGCAGTGAGCCGAGATCGCCACTGCACTCCAGCCTGGGCAACAGAGGGAGACTCCATCTCAAAATAGTAATAATAATAATAGCTGGAAATTGGAACAACATAAATATCCATTAAGAGTAGAATGTGGCATACTACATAGTATAGTGAAGTAATATGCAACGATGAAAATGTATGAAGTACAGTTACACATAACAGGATGAGAATTACAAGGATAATATTGAAAGATGTAAAAAATAAGTATTCTGTGATTCCATAAATACAAAGTTCAAATATATATGTATACGTATATAGGCAAAACACACACACACACACACACACACACACACACACATATATATATATATATATATATGATTTATGAGAAGTTTTTGAGTTCTGGCAATGTTATTTCTTGACCTGAATGGTAGTTACATGAGCATTTATCTTTACTTGTTAAATTATGCATTTATTTTCATAACTTTCTGTATATAATTTCTGTTTTACGATATAAAAAGTGTTCCAAAGAATGATTAAAAGAATGGAGCTAGGCAACTGGATGAATAATGGTGCCAATTTCTGATTTGGAGAGAGTTTCAAAAAAGGAGTGGGAAGTGGAAAGATGGAGAATCCATAAATGAGAGATTCATTCTTGCCATATAAATTCTGGCATGCCTGTTGGACATTCAAGAAAAGATCTCAAGCCTGTAATCGAGGATTGAGTCTCAGAGGAGAGGCCCCAAATCTCCGTCTCAACTGACTGGAAGGAGATATTTACAACAGATATAGCTGGCAAACAGCTTACAACCAGAATATATAAGGAACTCCTGCAAATGAGTAAGAAAAAGACAACTTTGTAGAAAATTGGGCAAGAGACTTGAGCACACTAAGTTTTAATGTAAGAAATTACACAACGGGGCCATTGTATAGGAATGAAGTAAAACCCAGTAGCTTGGAATCCCCCTCATTGAGTCAAGAGACTGGTCATTTCAAGGAAAGGATCTAGGATGCAAGAAATCAAAACATGTATTTTTGGTTAAATCTCGGGCAAACAGCGAGAGTCTAGAAAGTACCAGTGACATGACTGATAGAATCTCACCACATGATGGAAGCCAACCCGTCAAAAGCCTGGGAAGCCCTCCCAGCCTGGGGCCTCTGTTGGTCCAGGATCTTGGACTGGTGTCCCATGGCTTAATCTTCGGGATTCAACCAAATAAATTTACCCCACCCATGTCGTGGACCCAAGCATCCTACCAAGTAGCCTTAGCTTAAATGCAAGATAATACTACTTTGTTCATCTTGACTGGAGTGAGAAATGAATACCTCCATGCACATATATTTCTTTTACCACAACAAGATGATGAAGAAATAAATGCATAATATTGATACTTTTGTATAAGTCATGTTTACAGGTGCAGTAAGAAATTTTATAATCGTTAATTTGCTTTATATAGTTTCTGCTTGCTTTTTATAATATTTAAAACAAAATCTAAGCAACAAATTATATGTGTGATTAGATTTACAGAAGTTGCTTAAGTGCTTAGGAATAATTTGTTCATCATATTTGTAAGTCTCCCTTGTTAGGTGTTTGAAGTGTTTGAATCAGCTAAATTAAATTTGTAATTGTAGTTTGAAATATCTAAAGGAATTTGCTTAATTAAATGTTTATATTAAAAGTTTATGAGAATTTAATCTATCAGATTTAACAGTTAATTGAATATGAATCAATGAACAAGTAAATGTGATCTTGCTTTTATAAGAAAAAAGCTACTAAGTTCATAAATAAAATATAAAGATCCATAAGTTGAGAGGAAAAGGAAAAGCAAGAGCTGGATTCTAAGATCTATAACTTTAAGAAATTAAATATTGATTGAAATGTAAGTCATTGTAATCATCCCCACTAGCTGAATTCTCACATCTGAATGCTTACACACAAAGCAAAATGTTGCCCCGAACATACTAAACAAATAAAAGACTGTGTGGTGATTACTATACACGTGGTCGCTGCTGGAAGCATTCACACTGCACTCAAATCCAGGTGGGACGTTGCAGCATGTGCTATAAGTGAATCTCGGCTGTTCTCCTGTGGGGATCAGGTCTTTTTCTTAATTACTTTCCATACATTTTTCTTGCTTTAGCCAGAGACCTGGAGGCCCTCCCAGCCCAGATCCAATTCAGATGGATTCATAATGAACGTCATTAACCTATTGATCCACTTGTTTATTTACACTGCGGTATTTTTTCACAGTGTTGCAGACAGAAAACCCCTTTGTGTCTTATACTGAATAATATCAAGGCACGCAAACCTAGCCACTGATTGTTTAGGGTTAAGTTACTGAGTGATTTTAAAATAACAATTTTTTAAATTTACTTCCATGTAAAATGCTTTGTTTTAGGCAGAAATCCTTGAAAGATTGCTAGATGGGTGTTTAACAATGCTTTTGAGATATGTGAGTTGATTGGTTGGGAGTTTGGGTGGGCCTGGAATGCCATAGACTCAACTTTTTCCTTCCAACACATCTTCAGGAACAGATTCAGTTCACGTGGTGGAATGCTTGTACTTCCCTTCCCAGCACAGAGCGCTTCTCAGAGAGAGAAGGAAGGCTTCGCTTCTCTCTTGTCACTGGAACATTTAATTTCCCATTTGTTTTTCATCTCTGTGTGGGAAGTCTCCAGGGAGGATGATTGATTTGCCAAGAGATGTCTTCCATTCCAGGGCCTTGGGCAAGTCACTATATTTACCCCATTAGAAACTCACCTAGCCCCTTCAACAAAGGATGTCATTGTAGATATTGAGAAATGATTCCACTCTCCCTGCTCAAAGGACTGGCTTTGGGGCAGCTTTCTGAAGGTCAAGGTTCAGTTCATAGACTGTTAGTACATGTCTGAGCAGATGTGGATATTAGTTGTGTCATCCATGTTTTAACCCTTGATTTTATAGTGTGGAAACTTGATGGTCAGAGGAGGAAGCCAGGCCTTCCCATGGCACCCTATTAGGTACTATCAGTCCCAATGGGCCAGGCCTTGCTCCTCCTCACTGCCTCTACTGTATCTTACATTTATTATCATTATTATTTTGAGATGGGGTCTCGCTCTGTTGCCCCTGGAGTGCAGTGGCGCGATCTCGGCTCATTGCAACCTCCACCTCCCAGGTTCAAGCGATTCTCTTGCCTCAGCCTCCCAAGCAGCTGGGACTACAGGCATGTGCCACCACACCTGGATAATTTTGGTATTTTTTTTTTCTTTTTTTGAGACAGAGTTTCACTCTTGTTGCCCAGGCTGGAGTGCAATGGCACAATCTCAGCTCACTGCAACCTTCACTTCCCAGGTTGAAGAAATTCTCCTGTCTCAGCCTCCTGAGTAGCTGGGATTACAGGCACCTGCCACCATGCCCAGCTAATTTTTTGTATTTTTAGTAAAGATGGGGTTTTACCATGTTGGCCAGGCTGGTCACGAACTCCTGACCTTGTGACCAACCAGGCCTCAGCCTCCCAAAGTGCTGGGATTACAGACGTGAGCCACTGCACCTGGCCTGTATCTTACATTTATTAGAAGGTTTCTGGCCAGGCACAATGGCTCACCTCTGCAATCCCAGCACTTTGGGAGGCTGAGGAGAGCAGATTACTCAAGCTCAGGAGTTCAAGACCAGCCTGGGCAACATGATGAAACCCTGTCTCTACAAAAAATACAAAACTTGGCTAGATGTGGTGGCATGCACCTGTGGTCCTAGTTACTTAGGAGACTGAGGTAGGAGGACTGCCTGAACCCAGGAGGCAGAGGTTGCAGAAGCCAAGATCGTGCCACTGTACTCCAGCCTGGGTGACACAGTGAGACCCTGTCTCACACCGAAAAAAAAAAAAAAAGAAAACTACCTTTTAGTTTCCATGCTGGGGAACTTTGCACATGTGTCAAACGAGGACACTAAAGCCCAGATCAAGTAACTTGTCCAAGGATCCAAGCGTAATTCTGATGATGCCAGAGTCCTTGTTTGTGATGTAGGTTTATTGACTCCTACTTATTTAGAGCACATAACAAGTTATCAAGAAATTACCAACATAAAGATGAAAAGAAGAGAGGTTAATGCTGGTTCACCACAGAGACCCTGGAGTCCTTTACATGCAGAGGATTCATGCAGATAACTTAATTGCAGACTTTTTTTGTCTACAGTAGTAAAATCACTCAGTGAGTTTTCACTCTGACCTTGGGGGCCTAGAACCTGATCATCTTTGGGGGTTGATTTATCAGCTGAGACCCTGTGAGATTTCTCACACTCTGCCTGGAAGGAGAGAGAGGTCTCACGGGGTCTCAGTGTGAATGGAAGTCCTGAAGTGTGACACTGCCCAAACACCAGCATCCTTTGCCTCTGAAGGAGATGCCATTCTTGACTCTGGAACGACAGATGATCTCTCATCTTGAAATTTTTCTTTGCCTACCTCTGGCAAATTCTATGACTATGAATTGGGGTTGTGAACCCCAAAAATCTGAGACAGGTCTCAGTTAATTTAAAAAGTTCATTTTGCCAAGGTTGAAGACACAAGCCTGTGACACAGCCTCAGGAGGTCCTGGTGACATGTGCCCAAGGTGGTCAGAGCACAGTTTGCTTTTATACATTCTAGGGAGACATGAGACATCAATCAATATATGCAAGATGAACATGGGTTTGGTCTGGAAAGGCAGGACAACTCAAAGCAAAGGCAGAAAGCGGGGAGGGGGCATCCAGGTCATAGAGAGATCAGAGACAAATGGTTGGATTCTTTTTCATTTCTGATTAGCCTGTCCAAAGGAAGCAATCAGATATGCATTTATCACAGTGAGCAGAGGGGTGACTTTTAATAGAATGGGGGGGCAGGTTGGCCCTAAACAGTTCCCAGCTTGACTCTTCCCTTTAGCTTAGTGATTTGTGGACCCCAGGATTTATTTTCTGTTTCTGGCTTTAGAAAACTCTCAATCCCAGCTCTGGAAAATTGTATTCTTAGATCTGGGAAAACTTCTATTTAGGGCTCTGGAAAACCCTCCATTCCAAGGTGTAGGAAACATTCTCTTGTGATTAGAAAAAATACTCTGCCCAGGGTTCTAGAAAATACAGTGCTCCAAAATCTAGAAAATATTTCATCATGAAATCAGGAAAACCCATTGCACTTTGGCTGTGGCAAATTACCCCTAAACCTGTGGATGTCTGAGCCCAGTGTGTGCTGGCAAATGTTTAACAACAAGCCCTTGGCAGGAGTAGAGGAGCTGCTTATTGGTGATGTTTGCCAATTTCCCCTCCCACCATGGCTGACTTCGAGTTACCAAAGTGACATCACTGAAAGCAGATTTGGAAGAGGATGCCTGCAATTAACTCCTACAATTGCCAGAAGGAGCCAGCTCCATCATGCTACTGTTTTAGTCGCCTGAGAATGGAGGGCTCTGATCCATGACTGTGGCAGATTCTGAAACCCCGGATATGGAAGACTCTGAGGTCCTGAGTCTTGAGAAATCACAGCTCAGGGGTCTGAAGGACTCCCAAAGCCCTGGGCATGGAGGACTTCAAGCCATGCACATGGCTAACCACTTGTCACTTGATTTATGGCACTCCTCTCTAAACCAACAAGGTCAACTCAAAGACTTAAGAGGACATGAAAGGCAAGAATGTTCTGAAAAACTGACATTCCTAATGGCCGAATAGGTCCAGACAATATCTTGATAGCTCTAATAACATGTATATATTTAAAGCATTTCCTCCCATCTGGGAGGCCTAGAATTTGATCACCTGGGAGGTAAGGCCCATTTTCTAGCTGACACGTGAATGGAAATGGTGTTTACAGGCATTACACAAGATGGAACATGGGCTGAGGGGTAGTTTTGATGGGATATCATGGTGACTTTGGAGGTCCTAAGATGTTGCGCAGACTAGTAACAGGCTAGAGGGTTTAACTCAGGTGGAGGCATCTGTATCAAGGGCAAGTTTACATTTATAACTTCATAGTCCCTGGAGGGCTGGCCACGACACTTCCTGGTTTGGCACAGAAAAAAACCTGCACCCTTGGAACTAGTGGAGATGCCCCCCTGGTGCTAAGCAAAGCGACAATTCCATCATGCCTAGCTTAGAAGGCGCCCTGTGGTGGACTGTGAAACCCCCACCCCAGCTCTGAACAACGGCCAATCACAAGCTCTGGTACACACACAGTCTACTGTTTTAGAAAGTCTAGGGTCCTATCCCTGTCTCTGGAAAACACTTCTGCCTCCCCCAGGGAGAAGCCCCTCACGAATCCTGGTCCCAGAGGATTCTTGGTTTTGAGGAAGACCCAAGCGATGCTTCATTCCTGCCTTTAGAAAACATTTGGTCTCTGACTTTGGAGGGATCCTTCTGACAAATGGAGGAAAAAGCACTTTGTAAAACTAAAAAGCTCTGCCTGGAATGCTGCAGATGCTCAATAAACCTGTATGGAATGAAGGAGTGGTCCTGGGAGATCTTTGCAAACTGCAATGCACAGCACGATCCTCAGATATTATTCTTACTGTGACTAAATAAAGCAGTTATCAGGGTATTATGGGAAACTCCATATTTCTCCCTAACGAGATCTTTTTCTTGTGAGCTCTCACCAGCCCGAGAGCATAGGACCTGGCTCACAGTGGGCATCAATAAACGTTTGATAGATGAATGGATGCATGGATGGATAAATGAGGGCTGCATGGATGAATGAATGGCTGTGTGGATGATGAGTGAATGGAAGATAGAAGGAGTGGCTGCCACATTTGCCTACTCAACAGCCACCCCCCGCTTCTCCTGCCTTCTTCCTTGCTAAATGAATCCCAATTTTATTCCAGTCTCCGA